ATGATGCTAGGCGATGACAGATATTAAAAAGATACTTTCTGCCCTTCCAGCTCCAAGTTAGTGGGTGAGAAAGGTAAGAATTTTTTTTTTTTCTTTTCTGGAACCAAGCAGTATGCTTACGCTTTAGTATAACGAAAAGTGACATAGAGGAAAACACAGAACCCTACAGTAAAGGACCAGTCCTCCTGCCTCTGTGGCCTGGCTTCTCACTACTGACTGTACTATTGTCTCCCCCAACTGCACAGGATTGTACATGTGAAACACCCCCTACTGATAGGATGTCCATGGGCGATGACATGTAGGAGGAAATAATTTTAAAGGGATTAGTCAGCATAACTATCCTCAGAGTTCAAGGAAACAACTGGTATGAAAGTATGACTGTACAGCTGCATCCTTTGAGGGACTCTTCCCCTTTCTGCTTCGTCTCTGTCCTGGGGTCCCACCCTCAGCAGAAGAAATTTTCTTACTGCTCCCATACTTTCATGCCTTCCCTTGAAGGAAATTTAATCCCCTAACCACTGATGCTCATCCTTCTCCCACCTCAGAGGAGGCTTCACTAGACAAAATAGCATCTTCACTAGACAGATGTTCACCAAAGCCTGGGTTGTTTAGACGAGGACATCACAGGCAGGTGTTGCCGAAACAGCCACTGCAGGCTTTGCGCTGTTAATTAAATCTGGTGACCTTGCTGTCTCTCTTCCACCTGCTATGGGGTGAAGGTAGTTTTTCTCCTTCTTAAAAGCTGGTGGGAACCTGTGAACAATTGTTGCCAAGGACACAAACGTATCTGAAGGACCACCAATATTTTGAAAGACTAAAAAATTTACACCCAGCTTAAGGAATTGGCATCTTTTTCTAAACGCTGTCTGACCTGCAACTTTGCTGTAAGTGGAAATTTCATTTACACTGTTTTGCAGAGAAGTAACAGTTCTTCAAGGCTTTTTTTTTTTTTAAATTTTTTTTTTTTTTTTTTTCAACGTTTATTTATTTTTGGGACAGAGAGAGACAGAGCATGAACGGGGGAGGGGCAGAGAGAGAGGGAGACACAGAATCGGAAACAGGCTCCAGGCTCCGAGCCATCAGCCCAGAGCCCGACGCGGGGCTCGAACTCACGGACCGCGAGATCGTGACCTGGCTGAAGTCGGACGCTTAACCGACTGCGCCACCCAGGCGCCCCTCTTCAAGGCTTTTAAATGCAGAAGGTGTGAGTCTTCCTCCTGCAGGAGATAGGTTGCCCTGAGACGGTGAGTGGGGCTACATGATGGAAACTTCTAAATAGCGTGCATGTTGGCCGGGGGGCTGGGGGAGCAGGTGAAGGAGCATCTACTGAATACATGTGAAGGCCTGAGGTTTTGTTTGTTCGTGTTTTGATTTATTAAATACTTATATTTTTATTTTATTCTTCATGTGCATGTCATATGACAGGCTTTTAGACTTGTCCATGTTCCTAAGCCCCTGAGTGAGTCCTCCAGTCCCTGCCAGAGCCACCCAGGCCTCCATGATGAAGGCCTTTCCTCTGGGTGGTACAAGAGGAAGTCCCAGTAAGCAGGCCACCAAATTCCCTTCTTCTACCCTGCAAATCCCTCTTGAGATTGCCCTCCACTCTGTCCATCCATCAGGGTCTGGGTTGTTGGCTTGTTGGGGAAGAAACAGGCTAGCCCAGGGGGTACAGAGGAGGGATTTGTTTGTTACCCCCATTCTCGATACATAAGATGGTTCCTTCCAGCTGCAAGCCATATACAGACACTACATGTGCTTTATACCCCTAATTTAGGATAAATTTGATCCCTTAAGCCGGCAACTGGTTCTCAAAGTATGATCAGGAATCTTTTGGGGCAGCTGTGAGGCCAAAAATGTTCTTTTTTCTCTTTTTTAAAATTTTGAGAGCAATTTAACATGTTAACTTCAACCTACAACTATCTTCTAATGCCATTATTTGAAATATAAAGAAACAGATCCTCACAGAACTAAAATAATTCACAAGCCATGAGGTTGTTTTTCCTTTTTTAAAAAAATTAAACAACTTTGTACCATGATGTAGCAAATAAGGTAAATGTCATGAATAGGAAAGCTGCAGTTTGCAATATACCCCTGGGAGGGTATTAGACCAGGGCAGGTGCATTGCACAGAACTGGTGGTGGCCCCTGTAGCATAAAGAACACAGTCGATAACATAATAACTTTGTATGGCCAGAGATGGTAACTATACTTATCATGGTGAGCATTGCATAACGTATACTATGGTCAAATCACTATGTTGTGCACCTGCAACCAATGTAACATGTGTCAGCTATACTTAAATAATAAAAACTAAAACACACACACACACACACAAAACCCAAAAACCAATTAGGTAACATCATGAAAAATTGGTTTTCAGTCTCAAAACTATCCATTTAAATGTCTTATCTCTTCCTGATTAGAGGTCTCATATTGTCCCCAGTTTCTTCGTTGTGTTTTGTGTGCAGTACCTCACAGGATGGAAATTCGTGGACCACCAACAATGGCAGTACCCATTGGGCTTGTCTTTCTGGATGTGAAGGTGTGCGGTGGCTTTGCTGCGATGATCTTGAACATAAAATCTTTTGTAAACTAGGTAAACCATGGCAGCTGTCTGAGCAGCAACGGGGACTGCTGAAACCCATCCAGCTGGTACTCTGCGAGTCAGACTCATCGCTTGCGAGGTGTGTGACCGGACACTGAGCGCCCTGAGCACTCAGGTAGACAGTGGAGTCCAGCAAGAAGAACTCTCTTCTATTATTTGCCTTTTTCACTACCATTTTCTCCTGAGTGTACAATGGGGTTTTCTAGAGGCAACGTGATATAAGACGTCATAGCAGATTTAATAGAGAAGCAAGTATGAGAGTTCAGTTAATCTCTCTCAGTCAGGTGTAAAGAAATTTGTAAAAATGTAAAATGAGGCCACTTCCATCGTGTATATTATTTTGGTTTTGAAAGTAGTTACCTTTCATAAAAATATGTTGCCTACATTAACCTATAGTATGTCATTTATTATGTTGCCAAACTAATAAAGAATTAAAAATGTTCAGGATTAATTTCTAAATTGGTACCTATTAATAGATATTGTCCATACAAAAATTCTTTGGGATTCTCAATAAATTTTAAGAGTGTAAAGGGATTCTGAGACCAACAATTTTTTTTTCAAATTTTTAAATGTTTATTATTTATTTTTGAGAGAGAAAGAGAGAGCATGAGCGAGAGAGGGAGACACAGAATCCAAAGCAGGTCCCAGGCTCTGAGCTGCCAGCACAGAGCCTGACATGGGGCTCGAACCCACGAACAGTGAGATCATGGCCCGAGCCAAAGTCAGACACTTAACCAACTGAGCCACCCAGGCACCCCCTGAGAAGTACAGTGTATGAGCTGCTGCCTTCAGCAAGCTGTTCCATTAGGGATATTTCATTTCAGAGATACGGAAAGTTCATAGCAGTCCAACACGTAGATGAATGCTGCAAAGTGTGCCTGGCCGAGAGCACTTACATCACCCGCTAATGTTTCCTATTTCCTGTTGTCTTTTTTTACTAGGCCTCCCTGTGACAGCTCCCATATGTTGACATCATCCATATACTTTCTTGCTTTGTGGGACTCAATTTATGACTGAAAGGTGATGATCAAAGAAAGGCTAGGCATCTCTTCAAACATGCCAAAGGAGAGTTAGAAGATGCCCGAATGTTGTGCCTAGTCATGGATATTTCAAGAGATTTAAGGCTTCTGCTGGAATTCAGAATGTAAGTGGGATGCTATGTTTACACTTTTTATGCTTATCGTTGTAGAATCCAAAAGCATTTTTGATTTTTACCAAGTTTGGGTTCTGTAGGCATTCCCGGGAAGAAAAGATGGCACATTGGAGAGCATCTTTTGCTGTTTTTGTCCCTGTGACAGCTGTCAGCGTGGGGTATCTGTGGCACGGCCCCTGGTGGCCAAGCACAGGGCCACTGTTCTCCTCAGACTTGGTGGGGACTGTTGAAAAGGTGCTTACCAGAGGAGGGCGTGGTCATCCTCGGAAATCTCTGAGTCAAAACAGACAGTTCCATACTCTTCCATACTCCTTTCCTCGGTAGGATCAAAATCTATCATGACTGTCCAAAATATCTAGTTTGGTTTCTAGGCTTAGGAACCTAAGCCCTAAGGGCTTAACTTGTTCCAGACTAAGGGATAGACAGCAAGACAAAAAGGAACCCAGAAATTGGTTAGATCACAGGGAAGGTTAGGAAGGAGCAAGAGGCATCGCTGAGGAATCACTGCAGGACTCAGTCTGGGTACCACACCTCACACAGGCTCCTGAGGAACATGAGGTCAAGACCTAAGGTGGAAGCAGGAGCTGAACTTAAAACACTGTGCTTATGGGGGCACCTGGGTGGCTCAGTCGGTTAAGCATCTGACTTCAGCTCAGGTCATGATCTCACTCACTTCCTGTGAGTTTGAGCCCCGCATCAGGCTCTGTGCTGGCAGCTCAGAGCTTGGAGCATGCTTCAGATTCCGTGTCTCCCTCCCTCTCTGCCCCACCCCTGCTCGCGCTCTGTCGCTGTCTCTCTCAAAAATAACTACACATTAAAAAAATTAAAACAACAACAGCAACACCAACACTGTGCTTATGAAAAGCTAGTAACTGGACTTCATATGGGAGATTTAGACCCAAGGTTGTGGTAACATTGCCGTCTCCACCCTAGTCTCTTGTTGAAACCATTCCTCAGCTGTGCTTCTGGAACCTGGCCTTAGGAGAAAGGCCACACTGAGAGCAGCATGCTCAGGGACAAGCTCATCTAGAGCACCCGAGAATATAAGAGACATAGGTATTTACTCAGGAAATTAAAGGTACAGTAGGGATCTCACTGCTGGGGTTCAGATATCTCTGAGAAGGTCTGGGGACTTGTGGGCAGCCCCCAAACCAGGCTATTTACAAGAGTTGGTCTTCTCTTTATGTCCTGGGAGCCTGATATAACCATCTGGCCCAGGAACAAAGCCTCAGTTGTGTGCAGGCATGGTGTGATTCTGAGAACAATGTGGGATTGGAGCTTGTCCTCAGCTCAACCTGCGATGGGTGGTAGGAAAAGAGAAAGGCACACGGAAGGAAAGATGGGTTTTGTGGAGCCTGTGCATTTCCCCCTTCTTACTACAGACCAGGCACAGCCTGTCAGACAGCAGAGAAAGTGCAAAATAGAGGCAGCACCCAGGGAGCAGAATTATTCATAAACATAGGAGATGTACCATGAAGACTCCCATATGTTCCGGTGGGGATCAATGAGCCAGTGACCTATTCATGTGACCTTATTCATAAGCTAGGGGGATCTGCCCCATGGTACTCAGAGCAATTGCAGAGATAAGGTCTTTCTGGGAAAAAATATGGTATTTTTTGGAAATGAGTAAACTGTAAGATATCTTCTATACTCAGATGGCTGCTCTGCCTCCATCTAGTTGATTATTTCCTGAGCTCTTCTCCATGCAAGAAACAGGCCTCTCCTGATTGCAAGCTGAACTTCATTTAGGACAGTGTCCCCCCATTAACCCCCCACCCCCCACTACCCTTAATTTATGAAGAAAGAGTTGACTGACTAGTTAACTCTCTGACTTCCTAAGCAAATAATGACATGGAAAGATTCCCCTCCTACCCTATGCATTGTACGATTCCATTTATTTGAACTGCCCAGAATAGACTAATCTATAAAGACAGAAAATAGACTAGTGGTTGTGTGGGGTTTAGGAGAATGGAGATTGGGAAGTGATGATTAGGAGGTATGAGGTTTCTTTGTGTGGTGTTGAAAATGTTCTAAAATTGGTTGTGGTGATAGTTGCAAAACTTTGTGATATACTAAATCCCAGCAAATTGTAATTATATGATAAATGAATTGCATCTCAATAAAGCTGTTATACACAAAAAAACAATGGAGAGACTGATAGCCAAGTGCTGGAGAGCAGCTCTGATTCTACTCTCTAAAAATATAGGTGAAAGAAAGGACTGTTCTAACTTGCACTATGTGAGGTAGAGAGTCTCAAGACACCTGGGCTCCATGTTGGGACACAGATTTACTATTGGTTATTGTACAGAAAGAGGGCTCTGGGAGTGGGTATTGCATGGCATCATTCAAATGGGCTCTGATATGGCCCCCATGAGACCTGGCAAGGTGACCAGAGGAAGAGAGGGAAAAAGATAAAGAGAAAAGACAGAGATAACATAATACCTCCCTAGGCCCTTCATCAGAATTTTCTAAGTTCCTCTTTTATCCTAGGATTGGGGAAGTCTGGCAGTGCCATCAGGGTAGGGAGCCCCAAGCCCTGAAAAAGCTCTTTCCTTCAGAGCACTTGCCCCGGCAGGGTACAAACCAGATACACCAGCAGCTCCAGGAGTAGTATCTCTGGGGTTTTCCTAGGGTCTCCATGCCTGACCCAGATTCTAAGAGAGTGGCCTGGAGAGTGATCAGGCCACAAGAATGAGGCTGATATATTTGGGGTGATTTATGTAAATAGTGGCCCTGTCATCTTCCCAGGGCTAAGGTATGCCTTCTCCAACCTCAGAAATAAGGTTAGTAGAGGAGGAATGTCATGTGACTCTGTCACAGACAATACATGCAGTTAACTGATCTTCAACAGGGGTGCCAAGAATACACAAGAATACACAATTTCTCTTCCAGAAATGGTGGTGGAAAATGATATCTACGTGCAAAAGAACAAAGTTAGATCCTTGTCTCCCACCACACACAAAAATCAACTCAAAATGATCAAAGACTTAAACATAAGACCCCAAACTGTGAAACTCCTAAAACACGGAAAAACCTTCATGACATTGATCTTGGCAATGGTTTCACCAGTGTGACACCAAAAACCAAGGTAACAAAACCAAACATAAGCAACTAGGGCTATATCAAACTAAAAAGCTTCTGTACAGCGAAAGAAACAATCAGCAGAGTAAAAAAGGCAGTTTATGGAATGGGAGAAAATATTTGCAAATCGTGTATCTGATAAGGGGTTAATCTCCAAAATATACAAGGAACTCCTACAACTCAGTAGGAAAAAACTAATAACCTGATTAAAAAATGGACTAAGAACTTGAATAAAATAGTCAAATTTTGTAGAATCAAAAAGTGGAATGGTGGTTGCCAGGGACTGAGGGAAGAGGGAAATGGGAATTACTAACCAACAGGCATAACGTTGTAGTCAAGCAAAATGAATAAGCTTTGGAGATCTGCTGTACCGCTTTGCACCTATAGTCAACAGTAACATATTGTGCACTTAAAATTTGGTCAAGAGGGTAGATCTTGTTAGGTGTTTTTTTTCCACCATAAAATAAAACAACAACAAACAAACAAAAGGTATATGGTTCAGTTACATCACCCTATAATTTGTGTTATTGTTAACATGTTTATATCATCTATATATGTTATAAACACAATACGGTGTTCATCTTTAACGTATGTCTTAAAATATTAATAAATATAATTAGAAAAAAAATCAAACTCTTTCCTCTGCTGGGAACAGCAGCCGAAATCTCTATTATTTTCATTTTCAGCTGTTACTTTTTTGCCGGGTTCCCTGGAGTCTCCCCATGCACGTGTAGCGTAGCAAATCAGCCAAGAAATGGGCAGAATTTACAATCAGATTTGGGGGTTTATCCCCTCTATGTCTCCATCTTGTCTAGGATTTCTTCCTTAACTTTCTATCTGCTGGCTCTGCCAGCCCCCGAATTTTGTCATCTGACATTTTAAGTAAGTAAGGCTGAGGCTTTTGGCTGCCTTGAACTGCCTGCGGACTGAGGAGACCCTTCAGGCCAGAAGCTGCATAACTGCAAATC